CTCTTTCTATCTTCATCTGTGTCTAGCTGTCTTCATCTATGTCTAGCTTGTTCTCTTTTCAACCTGCCAGTAAAACCTTCCCTAACTGCCTCTAAATTCCACTCAGTTTCGTTGCACTGTCTCTCAACTCACTGATTCAACCAAACTGCCTGAACAGCATTTACTAGAACTCTGTCTCCTAGGTGCTGGGATAAAAGTGTGTACCACCAACGCCTGAATCTTTACCTGAAACTTTCTCTCTACCAGGCTGGCCTTAAACTCAGAGATCCGCTTCCCTCTGTCTACTGGGATTAAAGGTATTGATACTCTGTATTGCAGCCAGAGCAGCCACGTTGCTGGATTAAAATTCCTCTGCGTGTCACCATTTAGAAGGACTAAAGGCTGTAGGCATGAAAGGAGAAGGAACATGATCATCATTGCCAGACAGCTAGCTTGGGAAATTCACTCCCTCTCATTCTACTGACTTCTCAGGTCAGGCTGACAACTTAGTTTCAGTTTGGATATGTGGAACATTAGCATGGGTAGCCGTTTGCTTTTTTATTGGGGGGGGGGCATCTCATCTGGAGTAGGGGGTGGGGCAGTTCAAGAGCTCAAGTCCACTGCAATGGTTTCCTATAACCCCTATTTAAAATGTCCACAGAAAGCAGGGAGCAATGTCGCAAGTCTGTAATCCCAGCACTCTGAGAGGCAGAGGCAAAGCCAGCCTTGCCTAGAAAGTGAGTCCAGACCAGTTAACACAGCCTGTCTCAAAACAAACAAACAAACAAACAAACAAATAAAAATACACAACCCAAAAAAAACCCAAAACCAACAAAACACACACACATACACACACACTCACAATAAAAAAATCTCCACAGTGAAAAATGTAGTGGTTTCATTGGATCTAGAACAACATTTAACATAATCATTACTTCTTTTCTTTCTTCAGTTTGCTTCTAGGCCAACACATTGAGGGGTTTCCCCCCTACGCTGGCTGCTCCTTCAGAATCATACTTGCATATAACTTCAAATCCATTGAACTTCAAGGAGTGTGCCTCCTTCGGTGAAAGTTAACCATTACCAAAACATTACAATGAACCCTCAAACTGTATCCACAGCTAAGTCTTCCTCATTCCTCTTCCATACCTCAAGGCAAGTGGCCAATCTACTGACCTCTTCCCTCTCCCAAATACCAACGTGCACTGCAGAGGAATTTTAAAGAACATGGCTGTTCTGGCAAGACAGCACATCCAAAGACTTCCTAGGTCTGTGTGATCCAGCTGGAATACAAACATGCCTTTAATCCAGGAGAGAGAAGCCAGCATATCTGAGTTCATGGCTAGCCTGGTATAGAGCAAGTTTCAGGAAAAGAAAAGCTTAGGTCCAGGCAGTGGTACATGCCTTTAATCCCAAGCAATGAAGGTAAAGATAATTTGTAGAAGGAAGCACCCATGTTTGAAAGTGATGTCTAATTGAGTGGCAGAAAGAGTAAGACTTGACAGAACAGGATAAGCCCAAATCTCAGGTGAAGAGAGAGAAAAGGGAAGCTACTTAAGGAGCAAAGAGAGTAGAGGCAGTAATAGAGAGAAAGGTTGTAGAGAAAGAACTCAGGTGAAGACTGGAGGAGCCAGAGAATGAGAAGCCAGGAGATTAGAACAAATGGCTGGAGTTACTTTGAGGCCGAGCAGAGCAATTCAGAGGCCAAGAGAAAAGCCAGTTTGAATAAGTCAGCTGGGAGAGGAGAATGAGCCAGCCCAGAGCTCAGGAAAAACAAGAAAGGGTGTGTTAAGCAGTAAGTCTCAGAGGCGGACAACATTCTCGGCCTAGGAGCTTCCAGGACGAGGCCTAGGTTAGCTGGAGGAGGAAGTAAGCCTCCAAGTCGACAACTGAACCAGGAGAATAAAAGTTCTTTTTACATTGTACTCTTTTTCCATGACAAGTAGCCATTCCTTCCTTTTGACTGTTTTGTTTCCTGTGAAACAGGGTCCTGTTGCCCAGCCTGTCTTCACCTCCCTAGTTCAAGGAAGATGATGTGCACCAACCACTTAGTCCAATAGCAAAAGCCTCACTTTCAGTTAGTTCTATAGCACAGGTTCCTGTGATCCAGTCCTTCCACATCTCCTCTGCCAATTCCTTCTGTCCTCCTTAATTCTTAGACTCAAAAGAAGGGTCACTTAGATGATTAAGATGTTAACTGTTGGATGATCTTTAGAACCCACAAGAGCTGGTGACTCCAGGAAGTCCCTCCTTTCTTTAGTTCTGTTACCAATAGTGCCTGTTGTTGCATCAACTAATGCAAAGCACATAAATTAACTTGATGAAAAGTAACTGGAAAAGCCTATAAAAACCAACCAAAGAAACAAACAAACAAAAAACAAACCCCAAATTCCCAAACAAACAAACAACATGACCTGAGATGTTCTAGGGAATTAAGCCCATTTAGAACAAGGCACTGAAAACTCTCCACCTCCCCCAATAACGCAGATTCTTCTTGCCCGCTGTCCGTCACCCACCCTTCCCCAGTAGCAAACCCTCCACCCTGCAAACTCATCTCTGGAACAGCTGCCCCGAGGTGGCAGGCAACCAGCGTACAGGATCCGGCAACAATCCTCAGACGGAAAGGGGATTTTTTTCCCTCACAACCAAGCACTCTTCATTCTTTCCCAATTGGTTGTCATCGCTGTACTGGCCATGGATTCTACGTTACTGACTTACTGCCTCTTCTTACAACACAAGTTCAACGATGCCCCAGTTGGGTACTCAGCAGGCACTTGTTGGCTGAAGCCTTGATGCTATTTATTTGGTCTTCACTGATGAAGACATTCCTGACTCCCTAAGTGTTCCTCGAGCCAACAAAATTAAATAGTATTAAAACTGTATGTTTACACATTAGTTTTCTAATGAAAGCTAGATGAGGAGTTGTGTCTTTTTCTCTCTTGAACACATTCAAAGTCCCATTAGTTTTTGTTATTCGGGGGTTTATTTTACATGAGTGTATTGTTTGCATGTTTGCCTGTGCACCAAGTATATGCCTGAAGTCTGCTGAAGTCAGAAGGGGGCATCGGGTCCTCTGGAACTGGAGTTCTGGAGGGTTGTGAGCTGCCACGTTGAGGCTGAGAATCGAACTCAGGCACTCTGTAAAAACAAGTGTTCTTAACTGCTGCATCATCGCCCTAGTCCCTGATTAAGATTTTATGACTACATTTACTCTGCAAAGCAAAGGATTAAAACCTAATCCGAGTAGCAGTCTATTTAAAAAAACAAAAATAAACAAACAAAACTTCCAAAGCCGGGCACGGTGGCGCCGCCTGTAATCCCTGCCACTCTGGGAAGCAGAGTCAGGCGGATCGCTGTGAGTTCGAGGCCAGCCACATCTACAAAATGAATCCAGGACAGCTTAGGCTATACAGTGAAACCCTGTCTCGAAACCAACCAAACAAAAAACCCTTCCAAACCTGAGTTTTCTCAAGTATAAAGACTTCAAAACATCGTCGGAGAAATGACTGAATCATTCAGAGGCAATAAATTTGAGAGTTTTTTATAGGATTCTTTTCAAACAGAACTCTTCAAAACTTGCAAAACCTAAGAACACTGGGAGTTCTTTTCAGTCTCACACAAAACGCACTTGCTTCCAAAGCTCCCGTTCGGATTCTATATGACCGCGCAAATAAAACACAAAACACATCCGTGTAAGAGCAAACGTGCAACCGCGATGCGCAGGACTTCAAATCCACCCGGCATCGGTTCTCACAGCCAAGGGCAGCAGAAGCAGCAGCTCCTTGACCTTTCAGACAATGATCTCCAAATCTTGGCCTTAGTCACCCACCGAAAGGTGTTGGGCACCTGCACTATTTCCCTCCTGGCAAGCTACCGGGAAAAGGCTCTGGGACTGAAAGGCAGCAATCCCCGATGGCTTCTGCACCAAAATTTCAGAGGGAGTGGAGAAAGGCAAAAGCATTTTCAATGAACAAGTCGCAGCCAAGCCTACCACGCTTACCAGATGGACGTTCCCAGTTAACCCTGGCCTCCGGAACCGTTGGTTCGCGGGCAACCACAAGAAGCGCCGCGGTGGCATCTGGGAGTTGTAGTTTCTGTCGCAAACAAACCGCGTCGGTAGCATTACAACTACATTTCCCAAAAGCCCTGTCTACGGAATCTGGGGTTTGGCTGTCATAATTGTTTGGACTAATCTTCAATTCCAGCCCGTTTCTACTAGGGACGCCATCGAGACCTTTATTTGATGTCTTTTTCTTGCGCGGTAAACATCTCCGTGCATCTACGCTCTTTCCAAACGTCGAGAACGGACAACGCCGCTGAAAGCGCATGCGCGCTGGCCGGAGTCGCGCATGCGCGGCAGCCGGCATGGCTTGGCGGCGCGCGGTGGACTGGGGTCCGGAGGTACTCTGCCCGAGGGCGGGGCTGTTCCTAATGGCCGCCTTGGCGGGTCGCGTGTGCCTGGGCGGAGAGGCAGGCGTGGGGCAGGGGCGTCTCCCCGCGGCCCCGGGCGGGGACAGGGGAGGGGCTGGGGGTGAGGACCCCGTCTCCCCTCCCTGCTCCCGCCCTCTGGGCCGAGCCCCACCGACGGGGCTGGGCGAAGGGGCGGGCCCTGTGCCTCGGGGCCTGTGCTTCGGCAGCGCGGCCCGGGGCTCGAGGACTGCTGGGTCGCGGGGTGCCCTCCGGCTTGGCGGCGGTGGGCCAGGACTGAGGGCTAGGAGCAGCGGGCTACCCCGGAGGACAGGAGCCGCCGGCGGGGTCGGGGACGCTGCCCTCCGGCGCCGCCGACACAGCGGCTGGTGGACGCCCCGGTCCCCCAAGCGCCGGAGCCTCGGGCCCCAGCAAGCTAGGGGCGAGGGTCTGCTGCCAAGCCCGCCAGCACCCGCCCGCTGCCGGGCCGCTGGGAGGAGCCGAGGGGGGCGGAGACTGCGTCGGAGGAGGGGCGGGGTGGGAACCGGCCACTGCACAGACCAAAAAAAAAAAAAAAAAAAATCCCGAATGGCTGGAGAGCCTTTTGCGACCCAGCAGCACGGATTTGACAGCTCCACAACGTGAGGATATCCGCTGACCCTGTGACACAAGAGCACACTTCCCCGAGACTCCCAGTCCAGCTAACCAGCTCTGTAAGCTTGCAACTTTCCAACTTTTCTTCTTTTTGCAATCTCTGCCCTGGAGACTGCCCTTTCGTGTTGGAGAAGGTGCGAGGGTGATCCGCCTTGTGGATCGATTGGAAAGCATCAACCTAAAAGGCACGTGTGGTTCCCAATGCCACCCAGACGCTTGTTTTCGTGACGACTGGATTTCTCTGACTTTATTCTTCACGTTTCTCGTTTTTTTGGTTTTTGGGTTTTTTTGTTGCTGTTGGCAAACTTGCTTTGGGGGAATGCTGAGAGGTGTCTGAAGGCTGCAAAAGAAAAGCTCCCGATTGTCATGGCTGAAGGAGAGAATGAAGTGAGATGGGATGGCCTGTGCAGTAGAGATTCGACTATTAGAGAGACAGCGCTGGAAAACATTAGGCAGATCGTTCTAAGAAAAACCGAACACCTTCGTTCAGTGAAAGAGACGCTCTATCGACCTTCAGATGGGCTTTCAAGTGCTGTTTCTTTGGATGCCATGAATAAACTTCTTGCTCATCTCCTTATGCTCTCTAAGAGGTGTCCCTTTAAAGATGTGAGAGAGAGAAGTGGGTTCATTCTGAAGAGCGTCGAGGTAAGAGCAATATTAGAATAACTAACTCGACAGTGAAATTTGACTTGCAGTTATTCACGTCGCCTTTGAGCTCTTAATATGACTTCACTAGGCATTGGAGAGCACGGTTGAATGTTGGGACCAAACCGAGCAGTGTAAACTAAAAACGGTTTTCAAAAACTGATGAACAAAAATTGTTTTTATGGCGTTTCAGGCAGAAACAGCATTACTAGCGGAGAATAATATATATGAAAGGTGTAGTTAATTACAAGTCCTTGCATTTCTTTTGGTTTGTTGCCAGGCGTACCCAGTGCACTTTGCACATTGTTAAGGTGTTGTGTGTGGAAAGTTTCACATTGGAAGCCTCCAAAATGAGAAATTATATTAAATGTTTCATACTTGTTCAAGGTAAATTGGGGCACAATTTTCTCTGGCCCTTAACAACAAAGGCAGGATTCCAATTTCTAAATGCATCCTAATACAGAAAAATAATTTTCTATTATTTAGAAAATAATAATAATAATAATAATAATAATAATAATAATAATAAATAGCCTAAGTCATAAAGAAGGTAACATGTTCAGGTTGAAAAATTGGACCCAAAGTTAGCATTTAGTAGCATATTCACAATAACCACAAAAGGTTGAGTCAGGGATAATACCGCCAGGAGTTCGAGACCAGTCTGGCTACCTCCTGAGTACTAAGTCTGTACATGGCTACATGGCAAGACCCTGCCTGAAAAAAAAAGAAAAAGAAAAGAAAGAAAGAATTGGATAAAGGTAAGGCATTTGGTAGAAATGTTTTGCTGTTCACTTATTTTCTGTGTTCCCTAACTTGTTTCTCTTCCCCTTAAATTGCGAGTGCAGTAAGGTTTAAAATGCTATTTTTTCTACAGTCATTTTTCTGACAGTTTTCTATAGAAGCTTAAGTAAAAGAAAAACAATCACCTGTGAAAATGATGATTTAAAAAATTTTATTACTTTTATTTTATGTGAGTTGGTGCTTTGCCTGCATGTATGTCTATGTGAGAGTGTGTCAGATCTTGGAGTTACAGACAGTTGTGAGCTGTCATGTGGGGCCTCTAGAAGAGCCCTTAACCGCTGGCTGCGCCATCTCTCCAGCCCAGTAAAATGGTGATCTTAAAAAGCTAAGATCTTGAAATAGTTCTTACAAACACTTGAGAATCAATCATTATAATTAATTTTACAGGAAGGAATTAACTTTCAATATATGTACATTCTGTCCCTTAAGCATAAGAAACTATTTCTTTTAGACTTCTTATAGCCACTATACTAATTAAAAAAAAATAATGGAGTCGTCATTGTGCACATAAAATACTGTGCGATTTGTATAGAACTACATGATCCATAAGTTTTTAAGTTTTTCATCAAGTGTTTGGTTTTTTTTTTCCTTCCACTTGTAACTACTTTGGTCTCTTCCTGGCTTTTCATCTCACTGCTTATTTATATTTGAGTGGAAAAATAGATTATGACTTTTGTTAAGACTTATATTGAAAATAGAAGTATTCAGGCTCTGAGGAGTACTGTATCAGAGAATTGCAGCGTAAGTGGTAAGTAAATGCACTAGAGTCAGACCTAGATTCAATTGCTTCCTTATTAATGAACTGCAGTAACCCTGGACAAATTCCTTGGCTTTCCTTGTATTTGATTTTCACATCTATAAAATAGGGTAAGAATACAGCTTCTGTGGAAATGGCATACAAAGTGCTCTCGTATTCATTGAATGCACCTTTCACAAGTACAATATATAGACTATGTAAAAAATATCTCAAGCCTATTTTATTCTGCAGAATGATTCACTCTTCTGTACTGTAGTGGCTTCCTGTCGACATATTTCTTTCTCAGTTCTGCATCGGTTATACTTTATTGTTGCCATTATCATAAGAGCCTCTTGATTTATATTGTTCTGTAATCTCGTGTTGATATGTCTGTTTTTCCCAGAAGGACTCTTAAGTTCTCAAGAGTTTTGGCTGGGACCTGGAAGCTACTAAATAAATATCCAATGGATAAACAAATTTATTTGCCTTCTTGCTGTCTCACATCAGTTTGCATAGATAAAGTTTCCATCTTACGGAGTTTCTCCCCTACAGCATTCATTCATGCTCTCATTTGAACAGCAAATAGTGAATGCCATAGCAAGAGTGATAAGAATTTGGATATTCTGTGAAAGATAGAAAGGTCATAAAAAGGAGTACACAGACATTTAATTTTATATAGTTTAGTAAGGGGAGAGTTCCCTGAGGCAGACACCCTTAAAGAGAGATTTAATATCCATTCATTCATTTTGAGACAGGGTCTTCAGACTCAGCCTGCCAGGTGCTAGAATTACATACACCAGCATATTTTTCTTAATAGTAATTATTATCTATACAGTGAGATTGTTGTAGGGGTCCAGACATAGAAAATAGCTTGTATGAAGGCCTCATGGCAAAAGCAAGTAACTGAGTTCTAAGACTTGATAGTGATTCAGGATGGTTAAAGTTCACAGTTTGTGGGGAGTGTGAAATTTAAGAGCATATGCTCAGAAGGTAGACAGATCTGATTTTGATACTTTATTATCTGTACACTTATGAATAAATTCCATATTGCTTTTGACTCAGTTCCCCTATCTGCAAAACGGGGAGGATGTTAATAGTAGTTGCCTTACAGTGCTGCTGTGGGAATAAAATGAAATAATGCCTGCAAAGTGTGCCACCGAGCCTAGCACCTAAGAAGTACACTGTAGTGGTAGACATTTTTGTTGTTACCAGGCAGGATCCAGGTCTCCTGGGAACTGTGGACAATTTTAAGGAATGTAGACATTATCCCAGGACAGTGGGAAGCCACTGAAGCTTTGAACAAGACAGTAACATGGTTGATAATGTCACAGGGTCATTCTGGAAGCAAGATGGCAAATGCATTTCCAGGAGTGGATGTTTCCTATCACTTCCAAGTTGTTCTGTGGCAAAAACAGTAGTGGACTGGGCTGTGGTAGAAGAGGAAAGACGCAGATGGATTTGAGAGATAACAAGGAGTTAGAATCCACAGGCTACGATGTTTAAATAAGTTTAGGAAACGAAGGGAAAGAAACAAAATCGTGACTTGAGTTACTCAGTGAATAATGTGACCATTCCTGAGGAAGAAGACCGGCAGGTCTGTTTAGGAGAAAATCAGTTCTTTGTGCATACTGAGTGAAGTTAAGCTTTCTCTGAGGCATCCATGAGGAAGCTGCCCCTTGATGGGTTTGTGTCTCTGCTTCTACTGGTGCTGCTCTCTTTCACCTCTCTGGACTTAACCCACCCTTCACCTTTCTGTCCACCTATATAGCTGCAGGGCCATTTATCTACCCAGCAGACAGGACCACATTACCTACCTGTCTAAAGCCCGTTATCACAGAATACAGCCGTAACGTGTCTAACTTCCACCTCACGCCTTACTGCCCATCTCATTGTTCACACTGTGCTATCAGTCTCACGTGGAATTAGTGCTCCATGGTGCTTTCTGTTAGTCATTGGTAACGTGGGATTCCTGCAGCTGCTTCTGAAGGCCTTTAACTGCTTTGATCAACGCAGAGGACTAGCAAGGGAGAAGGGCAGCTTCAATTCCAAATGACCACTACACCTACAAAATTAGCATATTGGTAGACAACATCTTTTTATCATCTGTACTTGATTGGAGGAGCAGGGAAAAGTTTCTCCTGCTTCTCAACAGGTTCCTTTTCTCATTTTTAATGAATTTAAAATAAATTCCCGTACACCTCTTTGCTACTGGATTCTCTAAACAAAGGAACAGAGAATCAACTCAGGCCCACTTACTAGTACAAGTCACTACTGAGCTGTAGTCATGAAGTCTGTAAATAAAATTGAGGTAAAAAATATAAGTGCATATTTGAGCAAAGATTACAAAAAGAAAAAGTACATAAACTTGTTAGTATTTAGTGCTAAAAATAATTTGGCTCAAGGTTGTAGGTTTAGATTAGGTAATTAAATACTTTGTTAGTGAGGTGGGGAGGATTTCATTTGCTGACGCTGAGAGTTATCTCCCAGGGAGAAGTGAAGCCTGGAGCCTTGCATGTGATGCTCTTTCATGCTTGTCAGAGCATTTCTCATTGCTATCTGAGTAACACATAGCATAAGTATGTTGAATATACACACACAAACTCTATGTTTTTTTATTCGTATTTAATTTCTCATAAATACAATCCCACAACAGTTACCTGTTATACAATTAATTTTAGTTAATTGATTTGTTAGCTTAGCCACATTGCCATTCTTACCTTCCATCTGCAGTCACAACCTGCCAATGTGTCTGTCTCTGAGAAGCAAGGCTTTTCCCTCTGGAGACTTTCCCTCAGTTTCTCTTGACCAGAGTGGCCACGTTCCTTTCTAAGCTAGTCATTGGCAAGGAAGTTGGGCATTTTCACTTTAGTTTGAGTTAATAGGCATTCAGGCTGTAAGGACCAGGAGACACCCTCCCATCACTGAACAGTGGATATGATGGTGAAAAAGAAAGGAGATGGAAGGCAGCCATGTCCAGTTAGAGGTGCCTTTTAACTTGCTGCACTTGTGCAAGACTAGATAATGTATCAGTTGGTCTATTTATAATTTGGATTTCATTAGACTAGAAGTATATTTAATTCATTCATTATGGGAGCTATAAAATATAATAATAAACCAGAGTAGGAGTGTTCTAGAAGCAGATTTGGTCTTGTTTGGTTGGTTGGTTTTGTTTTGATTTTATTCGTTTGTTTTGAGACAGAGTTTCTCAGTGTAGACCTGGCTGTCCTGGAACTTTCTCTGTAAATCAGGCTGGCCTTGAATTTAGAGAGCCACCAGCTGGGATTTAAGTTGTGCACTACTACGCTCAGCAGATTTGGTCTTTTAAAATAAGTTTTGCTTTGATTGCTTTGTTACTGCCCCATACTCAAAATCAAAATTTTAAGTTAGTACATATCAAACACGCAGCCCACACTCTTGGTCCTCTTTCAGTGTTTGCAAGAAGCCTCTCCCTTGCACACACACA